ATTTCTTGAGATCTATCTGTATGTTTGTGGCTGGGAAAGTTATATTAATTTTTGCTATTGCTAAAATCAGGAATAATACTTTGATCTTTCTTTTTTAAAGGAATTATTATATTGTCAAGGTTTTTGATAGAAATCTGAGATTATCGACTAATACAAATTCTTCATTTTTAGATAATATCGATATAGTTAATGTTAGTTATGAAAGGGAGATTTGGAGAGATTTAATAATTATCCCTAATTATAATTATGGAATATTAATTTGTAGATAATATGATCAAAAGGGTATAAACAGGATTTCGATTGTGTATTTAGAATCTGTAAGTGAAGAATTATGTAGAGTATTAAAGAGAGAATTATATATACAGGTATTTGGGAGCTATAAGGGCTAGGTCTAGAAGAGTGAAAGAGTCCTAGAGATAAGTATTGTATAATGTCTAGGTCTAGAGTTATAGAACTAGGGCTTTAAGCTGTGAAAGGAAGGTTCAAGAGAGCCGTCGTATTATGCTACGTATGTAGTATGAGCCAGTGGGCGGAAGAGAGCCGTCTGTTCCGTCACAATTAGCTTAAAAGCTATCGATTAATATAATTTATTATTAAGAATAGTACCCCTAGTGTATGACCACCTGGTATTCTGTCACTGTATTGGGAAGCTAGGGCTAGGGAAACGTAGAGTTGATTCGACTAAAGAGGTAGAAGTTGATGGGTTACGGGATAGCTTATATAAAGCTACCCAGTCTCTCCCAATGCGGCCTAGTGCCGATCATGTGACCTGACCCTGCTCAACATTTATATTGAATATTAATAACAATATTAAGAATTCATAATGATTTTAAGACATTGTTGATTTTAGATTTCAAAATTCTTAAAAATTATTTGTATTGTATTATATTATATTATATTGTATTGTGTGTATTAGCAAAGAGCAAAGAGCAAAGAGCAAAGAGCAAAGAAATACATGTCTATCACAAGTAAATCGAGATATGATATCGAGAATTGTACTGTATTGTAGGTGATTTTCTACTATTGTCTATCTATACACATATGTGTACTACAGAGTGCTTTCTACACCATTGGAATACCGGTATCTTAATTTCATCATTTCATAATATTCGTAACCTTCATACCAGCCCATACCAGCCCATACCAGTCCATACCATATCCTCTAAATTAATACTCTCGCTCCAAAGCAATTCCATCAAAGCAAAAACAAATTAAAACAACACAACAAGAAAGAGCTCCTATCAAGCCTCTAAATCCCCATTACTCCTCTTCCCACCCCCCACCCTCTGCACGCCTTCCCTTCCGCCCTTCCCCATCTCCCCCTCAAACTCACTTCCCTCCTCCGCGCTATACGCCATACTCGAATCCACGATTTCGTCACCCACTTCCATCCACCTATCGCTCGTCGCCGGAATGGGGAAGAGTGTGCAGAGTATCCAATACATACTGGCTGCGATGATAAATCCACAAAAGAAGTTCAATTTATAAATATATGTCGCGCCTGCTGGAACATCTTTGCCGATGGCACCTACGAAGCCTACGATGTTGATGAGGATGCCTGCGATGTAGGCGGCGTAGCCTCTCCAGTGGATACCGAGGGTATAGTAATATGGGGAGGTTTTCTTGGCGGAATAGAGGTTGCGGACTTGGAGGTATCCTTTGCGAACGATGTAGTAGTCTGAGATGATGACACCGGCAATGGAGGATAGGAAGACGGAATACGCGGAGAGATAGGTGGTGAAGTTGTTGGCGCTGGAGAGGAGATTCCAGGGACACATGACGAGACCGACGATAGCGCAGACGTAACCACCGCGGCGAATGTTGATGTAGCGTGGAAGGAGAGCTGTCATATCTGTACCAGCGGAGACGGAATTGGCTGCAATATTGGTACCGAGTTGGGCGAGAGCAAATGCAGTTGCAATGAAGAATACACCGGCGCGATTTCCAGATCTGCCTTCGTCAAGAAATGATTGGAGAAGTTCGAGGGGATTCCAGATGGGGTCACCTTTGAAGATGATGGTCGAGGATGAGGAAACAATGATGCCGATGAAAGATGTAACTGCGAAACCGACGGGGATGGTGATGAGTTGTGACCAGAAAGCATCCTTGGGTTTTCGTGCGAAACGTGCGAAATCAGGACTGTTCACAATGAGGGTCGCGAAATTGGCGATGGAGGACATGATTCCAGAGACCATATACCATGCCATTGCACTTCCGTGAGATGTATTTCCCTGTTTAACGATTGGGCCGATACCCTTTGCGCGAACGATGGCCCAGACGAAGAATGCGATACCTGCAGTTGGCACCACATATGCTTTAACTGTAAACAGATGACGAATCTTGTGAACCGGAAACCAAATTGCTGGAAGTGAGCAAAACCAAAAGAGGAAGAAAGATACAAAAGCCACAGTATTCGTTCCAGAATTAGGAATTCCATTGTGAATTTTGGAGGGAGAGAACGATGGCCAAATTGCAGAGATCATCAACTGAACGCATTCTCCTCCAATCCAAGACTGCACTCCGTACCAAATACAAGCCATGGCTGCACGGTTGAAGACGGGCCATAGAGCACCCCAGATGCCGAAAGAGGATCGAGCGACAACTGGGAAGGAAAGATGATAAGTGGCACCGATTCTTGCTGTCGATACAATGAAACAGGCAGCAATGGAATACCCGACCCATACACAGAGCCATGATTGCCACCACGATAATCCGCTGGGAGCAACGATCATGCTCGATGATATCATCCAAGTATTCTAATTAGTCGAAATGTTAAAATATCATTTCTGGGCAAGGGAAGCTTATTGGATGCAGTGCTCACAATATTGAACGAATCCGCGATCCAGAATCCTACAAAATTCCAGGCTCCCCATTGTCTACGTTCTGGTTCGACTATAAAGTTATATATCAGCATTGAGTTCTCGTACACAATCAAAAAACTTACCAGGTTTCAAATCATAATTGTTTAACATGAGTTGAGCATTCGTCAATCCAGGCTCGCTCTCTACTGCCAATTTGTCGGCCCAATAGCCAATCTTCGTGTTTTTAGCTTTCTCCATAATGATATCGAAAAACCAGTTGCCCGATTCGTCCGATGAATGAAATGTAATCTCTCTAGAATATATATTTGGAGGAGAAGAAGAAGAGGAAGAGGATAAGGGTCTAGGAGAGGAGGCTGATGTATTCCTATGATGCAAAGAGGAAATGTACTGTAACGTTGTACCTATCGCACTTTCTTGGCTATTCGAAGGACCGCTGGCAAAAATCAACGGCGTGGTTTCGTCGTCTGGTCCAGTACCGGTAGCATTCCTGATTTGTTCACCTCCATATTTGAAGGCGGGCATTACCTCTATTATATAGACTGTTGGACAGACAAGGATCCTGGACGTTGTCTATAATTGATTGTGATTATCTCTCTTAACTCAAAGTCGTCTAAGCTCTTTTTCTCCCCTTCTTTGCAGCTGCACGAACAGGTTCTCGAATCCTTACGAATGTGAAAAAGGTATGAGCACGGCAGCGTAGATCTCAAATAGTTTGTTGACTTGTTATTTGGTTAGGTACCTAGCTAGGTATTTCAGTTGCTTGTCCCGGTTGGCCGGTTCGAAAGTCCCCGATAGAACTATCTAGCCCAGTATATTTACAAGCATCTTTGGTTCTTATCTTTGAAAACTGACCCAATGCAGACAAATTTATACCAACCAAGAGACTAAGTAGTTGATTCCAAGGTAAAAAGGCATTTAGAAAAGTATATTTCAAACCAATTTGTCTAGTAAAAAGATACGGACCTGGACCCCACGCTGCAAGATCCAGGATGATGAACTCATACCGGTATCATGAATATCTTGCCCCAAGGACTATGTTTTCGTGAGCTGAAGGGCCTTCTTGAGTGATCCTAAATCATATGAATGTGGGGCTTATGATTTAGTCGTTTGACCATCATCATAGATAGACTACTTCGTACTAGCGAAACCTATCAACAGCTGCATCGTTATCTGACAACGTCGGGTGGAATCATCGAGATTGTGATAAGTGTTGATATAGAGATAAGTACTCAGTAATACAGATAAGGCTGTATTTTACTCGATATGATCAAGCAATCATTTGTATAATTGCGGGGAAGAGACATATATGAAGATAGAAATGGAGATGAAGATGGAGATGGAGATGCAGAATATTCTATGCAGAGCTTGGAAGATTATCGGTGTATCCGAAGGTAAAGTGACTTGGTGTCGATGCAAGAATTTGAATGTACATTTCCGGAAGAGGATTATACTGTAATAACTTATTAGGACTTGGTGACTGGGTGAAGAGAATACTGACTGACTTCAGAAACCGTGATCGGAGTCAAATCAACTTGATCACGTGAAAACGGAAATTCTCCGACTTCGGTTGTTTTTGACACAGCCGGAAATAAAGCCAGAACCTGCCCTTATTCCCAGTCATTGTATTTTTGTAAATTCCTGTCCCAAAAGGGAAGGATGTGGCAGATTGAAAGTTTCCAAATTTTTAGATATGCAACAAAAGAGCTTGATATGCTCTTTTCACCGCATCTGGCAGAATAGCTAGAAGTTGCTATATCGGGCTGGCTCGGCTTGTAGAACCCCCGCACTTAATATTATCCTGAGCTATCCTGCCGTCTTGTCTACCATTTATTATATATACTGAGCACTAAAATTCTCTCATTTCCATTACCGTCCATACTTTGACCATCAACATCTCCCTCCTCCTCTCCTCTCTCTTTACCCTTCCCCTACCACATCTCAACCATATCATCTTCAAGTCTCCACAGACCAGATTCACTCATTTTTTACATAACAATCACTGCACTGCAACCTCAAACCACCACAACATATCACAAGCATCGCCCAAGTATCAAACATCTCGTATAAACCTCCTTCGTGACTTACCCATTAAGGAAACAAGACGGGTCGGCTCGTATGCGACATGCAACAAACGTAACCTCAGATGTCCCTTTGAAGAATTCATGCCGTGGTGAAATCATGCAGGAACTGGTCACGTGAGGTCAATCTGAGATTTATGGGTGATATATGTTAGATCTGGGTACGGTAAGTCCAAGGTTGAGGGTGTGCGGTTCAAATCTGAGATGCGTTTGAGTGTTGCCGAGGATGAATCTGGGACTTCAAACAGGGCGGTGCGAATTATTGGATGTTCTAATTGAAAGTTCAATTGTTCATGGTGATATCGCTAAGCCGCGCTTGAAGATAATTCGAAAGCTTGGAAGATCGATTACAGCAATGATATGCCAGTGGTGTTAACTTCGAAGTTTTCAGACAAACAACTGCGCAGCACTTATTTTGATCGTCATCTCCCCTCTCTTCGCTATGTTTCTTCTTCACTAGGAGACTGGAGAAATAGACACACGAGTTCAGATTGAACTCTATGTGAGTTCTTATGTCTATAAGTATAGATTCCATCTGTTTTCCATATCGGATGTTCTGTAGGGGAAAGTCTGCACATACTTATCTCAATATTCTTCATCTAATCTTGAAACACAATTCAAGAAGAATTAAGAAGAATTGAGATTCGGGGATTCATCAAAAACTATTGTTTTTATATGTTTATATCGGTGTCGTATCCTAATGGGGTTTCTAGATCATTGGAAGACGCAGAGTACTCGGAACAACTACTCATCCCTAGCTGGAGGAGTGGGGGACGTTTTCAAAAGGAGCACCAAGCAAAAAATATATATATAGCATTAGTCCAGTGAAATGCAGCAGAATTCGATTCCAACAAGACGAATTGAAGTCTGCCAACCAAATGAGGTCTTGGGCAGTTGAGTAACGGAAGAGCTTCAGAGGATATGAACGCCCAGCACTAACGCGTTGAGTCAAGTGGACTTCGTTCGTTGATCAGCGTAAAAGTGTTATTATATATAGTTCATGACTCCCCTCATGACACATATACATATTTACACGTGGCGGCTTGTCATTATATATTCAAATGTCTCCCTACGATTTCATATCAAGCGATTCTTGGTAGTGTAGCGTCTAGCAGCCGCTCGCATGGTCACGTTTTTCACTTCAAAAAGTTGCGTTAGGATACGATCATTGCTGTAGGAGCCATCACGTTCCTATGCTGAGTTGATGATATATATAAGGCGAGTCGGAGTATTTGGAACCTTTGCTCTGTTTGCTATATTGTTATCATCCAAGTTGCTTCACGGGTTACTTTTTGGATGGTGAGGCTTTGTTATCACTTTCGGGTGGAGAAGCCAAGTTCGTTTATAGGTATAGGCTGGTTGCCCCATTTTCAATTCAATGCCCTCCTCTGTCCTCGCCCCAGTCGCGGAATTGAGATACAGCTTCGACAAAGTTTAGTCATTATCCCGGTCAAACGTGCACATGTGTGTTGAAAAGTAAAAAACCAATATCATTTCATTCCTACTCTTCTCCGTATGTAGCTTATTCCTATGTATAATTGACTGGATATATACAGACGCAATCCGTTATGTACAGACCATTTACCAAGCAATACATGTCTCTTCAGCCAATCCCAACTAATGTGATCGAGTAAGACAAGCCGCAACAAGTGCTTGATCTATCATTTGCGATCCACTGCCAGTAGGTGTCTCCGTCAATTCTAGCACATCAATATTAGTACATATTTGTATCTTGAACTCTTACCAAAGTAATGAGTTCCATTTGGTCGTTACCACTTACCATACGTCGAATCAAAGCTTCCAGCAGACCATCCAATATATCCCAAATACACATCTGAGTTCGCACTGTGCAATCTCACGGTTAGCCAAACTTCTCCCTTCTTTCTCTTTTCCACCGACTACCCCAAGAGAAAAAAAGATAAAAACATACTTCAAATAAGCAACTTGCTGACACAAATATGTCTTACAACTCGCCGTATTCCCACCTCCAGTCTCGCTTAATATGGCCTGTCTCCTATTTGTCCGTAACCAAGTTGCTAGGGGTGCAAAGGCGGCGTCGATATTGTTTGTCACGCATTCGGTGTGGGTGCCCGAGTTGTCGGAGTCGAGATATTTGTGCACGTCGAAGATTAGGTTTGTGGTTGTGCCGTCGAGATTCTTGACTGTGGAGAGGGCGGCAGCACTACCGTCGGATATGAAGGCACCGGCTGATGCGTACTAGAGAGGGTTGGGGTTAGCGGTTTGGCTTAGTTTGGTGGAGGGATCGGGGATGAGAAGGGAGAGAGGCTTGGGGTGTATAGGAAAGAAGAGAATATGGAAAGGTGGCCTGTGTATTGAAAGCATAAATGCACAAAAATTTAACTCACGTCGCTGCCAGGGAGGAGAAGCATGGTGGATGTTGCTCCCGCTTGACGAATAGCGGTGACCGCTGCCTGTACTGAGGCAGCCCAGGTTGTTATGCTAGTCAGGTCTATCAAATCCCCATAAGTTAGCTGAGTATGTCCATTCATTCATACTCTCTCTTGAAATTAAGCACTCCACGCCAATCCACTCGCAAAAATAAAAAACGGAATACACACCATGCGGTTCATTCATCAACCCAAAAATCAGCTTCGTATTCCCCTTATATTTCCCCGCCAACTGACTCCACAAACTCGCAAATTGCGCATTGGTTGGTCCCCCCTGTCCAATAATTCCTCCATTCCATCGCGCATAATTATGGATATCAATGATACAAGTAGCACCCGTCGCCAAACAACCTTGGACCAACAAATCATAGTTCGCAAGGTTACCCGCATGGAGAGTCCCTCCCAAAACGTTGTTGACAAGATATTGCCAGCCGACGGGTAGTCGGAATATGTTGTGGCCGGTGGAACTCACAAAGTGCGCCATTTGTCCGAGCCCGTCCGGTCCGTTGTTTAAGCTTTTTAGGGCCTGACGTGGGGGAGGAAGGGGGTTAGTTTTAGTGGGGTGGTGAGGGGAGGAGGGAGAGGAGGGAGAGGAGGGAGGAGAGGGATAACGCTTACGGGTAAGATTTTACTGGTGATGCATGTACCGTCCGTGGTGCATCCGAAATCAAAGCCTGCAATATTCGTCCCAACTAGAGCGCGTCAGTACATTTGCAAGTCCGTTCTCAAGTCACGACATCTTATCTTCTCTTTAAAAAAAAAAGAATATGCACATGCAAGCACTTACTATATCTCGTCTTGCCAGTAGCGCTTGGAGTACCGGATGTAGCACTAGTCTTACTTGTCGTCAATGTAGCTTATATCATCATCATCGTTAGTCTGTCTTTTCTTTTCTTTTCCTTCCCGTTCGTGCATTCATATTCTGGGGGTAAGGAAAGGACTCACCGGTTCCAGGTAGACATTGCGAGTAATAGTCATTACTGGCGGTACACACATAACCGGAAACACACGTCGTGGCGCCGTTCCAGCCTATGCCTCCGCACTGGGAATAGGCAGCTCCTTGGGCGGAAACACTGGATATTAGGGGGAGAATGGTGGATAGGGGTGTTGAGAGCTTCATGTTTGAGGTGGGGATGGAGATGGAGAAATTTAAAATATCAAGGGGATAAAGAAGAAGAGAGAGAGGAAAGAGTAATGATGATGCGCAGATATTTATATAAAGAAAAGCAAAAACGCAAAAATAACTTCTGTTTTATGCTATACAAAGTCCAAGACTGCAACAGGGTATATTACATATTACTGGTATACATACAAGGAGACACAAATCAACCATGCAGATTATATACATATATCCAGTTCCCGCCCGAATCAACAATATCTCCTCCCTAGCACTTTCACTTTCACTGTAATAAATAGCTCTTTGTTATATCCAGACATGCTATGCTATGCATGATATCACAATACGAACGGACCGAAAAGCCCGTACCGGTATACTTGAGTACACAAAATGTAAAGTTCTTATATACATGTAAGATCTGAATTCTGAATTCTGCATGGTCTGTTCAGTGGCAGTGTGACGGTTTCGCGGAAAAAAGGGGTTGTGTATCCGAGGCAGGCGGGATGGCGGGATTGCGGGAAGGGGGTGTATGTGTTGGGGTGTTGGAGTTAACTTAATTTATTATTTTTATTTTTATTATTATTATTATTATTATAATAATGCATGCGGGTATTTGTGTGCGGTGTTTTAGATGATGTGTTGAGTATTTCATATACTTGAGTAGTACCTATACTGTACTCCTAACTCTCTCTTCTATCACCAATACAAACACGAAAATACAGTACCGGTATATCATATAGCATCCTCGATTACCGGTATATCATAATCCCAGATGAAGAATCTTAGTTACCGTACATAAACACAAGTCCAAACAAATCTACCCTGTCCATCCCATCACCAAATCACCACCGGACCCGAATCCAACATCCCACTCTCGGTTAAATCCAAGGGGTAAATACATCCCAACCCAACCTCAACCTCAATCTCAACCCCATCCTTACCGCAGGATCACAGTACCGGTACCCGGATTTCGGCTATTCTCGTGCTACATAATCTTACAGTGCCGATACATGTGTATGTACCTATAAAACTTGATTGTAATTTGTAGGAGTTTGTATATTTGGTGGAAAGGTGGAAAGGTGGATTGATTTAACTGAACCAAATACTGGTACTGGAAATTTGCTGGTATACAGGTAGGTATATATATATATTGGATACTCGAGTGTATTATATTGAGTGCATGGTATAATATATAGTTTTTTGATTAATAAGTCATAACCGTATATTATAAGTTACTCGAGTAGATTAATATTAAAATTGTTCACGGATGGTTTATATATATATATTACTTGAGTATATATGAAAGTGTACTAGTTAATGTCATATCCGACAAGAATGCCGAAGGGTCAGGGGTCAGGGAACAGATCAGAGTAATAAAATGAGATCTCCTAGCAGATACTATATATTATTTTCCGCAACTACCGGTACAATAGCCTATAGGCAGGCTATCAATGCTAGCAGGCAGGTGGGCAGGCGGTTGAGAGGCAAGTAAGTAAGCAAGCCTATTTGTGGGGTACTGGCTGATCTTTTACTGTATCTGTACTGTACCGGTAGTACTCAGTGTTGTATGGTGAAGTGGTTGGATTACAGTACAATGTGTTTTATCTGGGAGATTAGATACTGTAATACTATAGTATAAAATCAGGGCTTGTGATTTACCGTACTCTTGAGAAAAAAGTTGTTCCATGTTCCCTGGAATAGTTCAGGATTTAATAATTAATATACAATAAAAGGGAACAAGTTTTTTCACATATAAGTTCATATACACAGGTACTGTACCAGATAATCTTGCGCCAAAAATTGTATTTCATATATACAGGTGAATAGAAGTAGAATAGGAAGTTCTATATACAAATCTTAACTTCTTAAGAACGACAAGGAACGACTATATAGAGAAATTTCTTGTTTCCTAGTGCGACCTCTAAATGAATGTATGCAGCCGAGACCCGTCTTTCCTTCTATCCTCATTTACGCTCAAGTTTAGAAACTTGGGTTGGCATTGGTGAGCAATTGGGCAAAGTAGGCTTGGAACCAAGTACCAGCTTCTGGAGCTGGTTGGAGTGCATCTGCTAGGCCGCAATGGAAATCATATCGAGCTGCGCTGGTGTTGGAAGTACCCTAAATTGGGAGTTAGTACATCAAAGCTGGAAATATGAACCGAGGGACAAACATCGCATTCTCCACCTGGCTTGATCCAAACAAAAGCATCCTCCAAGGCATCTCCGGTGTTGGTGGTAGGTCGAACGCCAAATCCGGTGCCACTGAGGTTGCACCAATCTCCCCAAGCTAATTGAGCTGTAGGCTGAACACCATTGCGACCTATGTCTACGGTTAAAATCATCTCAGAAGCTCAGAGAATCTTTAAACTTACTGGTGTCGGTGATGAAGTGAGCTGGGAAACCTTGTGCCGTCAAAAGTGGAGCGATAGCATTAATATACAATTTCTCGTTGCAATTAGAGTCGCCGGAGGTGTAGGAAGGGCAACTAGAGCTCGTCCACGCATTGTAGTTGGCGACATTGGTAGCTAGACCTCTAACCGAAGATGGACTTCCTGCTGCTTTGTAGACCTGGCCAAAAAGTGCTGCAGCCGGAGTGATATTGGCCGACCATCCTAGCCAGCCAGCATGTCCAGCATCCAAGTACATAGAGACATTTGGCAGATTCAATTGTGCGATGGCATACTCGGTACCTTGTAGATAGGTTGCCTGTGCATTGGCACATTTCGCAACAGAAAGATTGGTAACCAGATTGGCCAACGAGTCCGGCTCTATTGAAATGTCAACCATCAATCTACGTATATATGAGATGAAGATTGTTACTTACCGATGACCAGAATAACGCTAACGTCAGAATAAGTCTTGAGGATAGCAACGATTGAGTCGATGTAGGCTTTGTAATGCACTAGTCCATTGTTCGCAATGCTATATTCTCCATTCGAAGCAGCTGCTGCACAATCTCTATCAGGCAAATCGTAGACCACGAAAGTACCGGCAACAGGTGGGTTTGCCCCTGCTTTATTCAAGGCCCGAATATTGGCAAGATATGTCGCCATCACTGGCACTTTGGCTGCGGTGTCACTGCGCTGCTTAGCTTTCGTGTTCGTCATCTGATTGAAAAGGATCGACTTACAGCCAAACAAAGGTCGGGACTTTTGCTACCGAAGCAGCTTTAGTTGCCATGGCTCCTGTGAGTGAAGGGATGGCAGTCGCAGAGATCTCAGAAGCATAATATGGGTTGGCGTAAAGTGCTTTTCCTGCAAATGGATTACCCGCAACAGCTGCTGTTGTAGTCGCGCTACCACCTGTGGTTGTGGTAACTTTCGTGGTGGATGTGATGATTGTTGTCGGAGTGGTTGTCACTGGTGTCGAAATCGCAGAGCCTGGTAGACATTGAGAATAGAAGGCATTGCCATAAGTACATGTGTAACCCGAAACACATGTTGTTGCGCCACTCCAACCTTGACCACCACCTGAATTATGTATTAATGCCAGATCAGTTCCGAATGAAGTTTGATAACTTACATTGTGCATACGCCCCGCCTTGAGCGTATACAGTTGGCGCTACAGCAGCGACAGCGAAGAAAACAATTTTGAAACCCATTCTAACAGATAATTGAAGAATCAAAGATTATGCGTAGTGTGTCATTCAGAAGATTTGAGAGGGCAAAGGATCTTTTATATCAACGGAACTGGGATACAACTGACGACCTTAGCCACGTTCGCTTTGTTGAACTGACAGATAACTAGCTTTCGTCGTCTATATGCAAATTGCCTCCCAATATCAATAACGGAAACCCGATGCCGGCTTACCAGTAGAATCCGTATAGCCTGAGTAGACGACAAGCAGTTGCTCGGATTGATCGCGAAGGACGAACCTATGCTGTGTGGTTGGCAGGACATGGTGAGATGTCATTGGATAGAACAAATGAAACAAGAAGGTTTTTACCATAACGTCGAATTAAAGTAGTGCTGAGGACCCAATCAGGTCAACAGACGGAAGATCACCCAAACTCATTTTAGATTAAAGAAACATGTCGCCTTGACAGGTACCTGAGAAGCTAAGGAGCAACGGCCCGTCAGAGAAGCCCTTCGCATCATGTGCTATCATGGACTGCCACTTGCCATATGATTTGTATTATAGCATCTGTCATCTTGACGAAAGTGGGATTTTGTGGGGTTGAAGATATTGCAATGTAGAACAGACACCAAGAACGTGATTTTGCCATAGCCATGTATCAAGTATATCCGGAAGATCCTTAACAACTGCTGGATAGGAGATTAACCGCCAACAGCTAAATGTCAGCTCAACAAAATCCCTCGAGAAAGAGAGAAAAATGTAAAGCCCAGGCCCAGATGCAGATTCAACAAAACGTTGGCTTTCAAACTTGTGGGACAGCGTGCAACTATAATCTTAAGCCACTTGGAAAGCTACACAGATACCTTCAGGAATCCCGTAAGATAAGGCTGATATGAAATGCGGAGAGAATCTGGGGAAAGGAGATGAAGATCGTGGAGAAAAGAGTTTGCGAATTTAGCCTATATTCGGGCTGGGTTACGGTTGCCCACAACTACCATCTAGGCTATCTGCCTGCCGACAACTTCAACGATGCTATTTCTTCTCCTTATCGCCGGTATACCAAGAAATACATACCGGTAATCATGAGCTACTCCCGTCGGATCCACATATGAGCAAGACAGTATAAATGCTGACCATCAGCTGATATCTTGGCTTTAGTTCATCAGCCGTCCTTCTCCTTTGTATCCTGAACAGAATTTCTGAGCTTTGGTCCGACGGCCGTGGCATGTTAAGTAACAATATCATGATCGATTATGGGCTTCCTTTATATTCTTCGCTTAGGGTAGCTATTCATCTCCAGTGAGATCATGTTAGGTTTTCCTCCAAACTTCATAGCGTGAGTGTTTTGACATAGAATATACTTTGTATTGGCGATAGAGAGCAAGTTGGAAGAATTCTCCAATGCATGTTTTATCTGCATATGTTTAAGCGTCATCAAGTATCGTTCTAGATTTGGTTTAAGCCTTGTAAGTTCCTTTGGGCGATGCTAGTATCTGCACCTAAGAAGTCATGCCATGTATTAGACAGAGCGTTATGAAATAATGACCTAGTATGGGGATGGAAGACTTAGAACCGTAGTTGAATCTCACAAAACATTGGCTGAGATATCCTTCTATCGATCAGCATGCCATTGCAATTACTTGGGAGTGAAGATCAACTCCCATCAACTCCCATCAACTCCATCAACTCCCATCCCAACTTTCTCTTCACCCTCTTACTCAGTACTACCCTCACCACAAAATACCGCCCTCCAAAGGACGCCCTAGAAACCCAGGAAAAACGACATGAAATCATGAGTTAGCATATATCCTTCAACTGATATACAAGAATTAAACAGGAGCAAGCAAATCTAGGAAATAGAACAAACTCAATCGAGCCATCAAGATTATAATCTGAGTGATTCACCTTCTATCTCATTACCTCGCCCGCTCCCAAGCCCTGAAGAGGAAGAGGAAGAGGGAGAGGGAGAGGGAGAGGATATGATGAGAAAGAGAATAAGGAGTATTTATCTATACATATTTCTATCCAATGCCCCGCCCCAGATCTATAACTTCTATTCCAATGCATGCATATACCATGCCACAACTTTTCTCAAATCAAACCTTCTTCGCAAAACACTCTCTGGATATTTTCTAACCAACCAAACTCCATACCAATGCTCATTCATCACCGTACAACACAACACCATCTAAAGACCTTCTTTTGCCAGCATATCCGCGATATCCAGATAGAAAGCGATAGCATTAAACTTCCTCACATTCCCCGTCAACTCCCAGACCAACCACCTCAACCTATTCGTCCAATTGATCAAATCCAAATGACTAACCCCCACCAACGTCCCCTTATAAGTCCCCCACCGACTACTCTCTACACTCACCAACCCATCATTTGGGCCCTCCACCTTCTGCACTATCCGATGACTCTTCCGAAATGCACTCCACAACTTCGGATCGCACGTCGCTCCATAGCTAAAATATCTCACACTCTCATCATCCGGCGTCTGGGGATTAAACTCCTCACTCATATATTTTCGCGTCAATTGCGTAAATGCCCCTGTACTAATACCCACTTCATTCAATTTCCGAATCAATCCCGGTATCATTCCATGCCACCAACTCTCATCGAAGCAATAATCCGCAAAGGCACTCCCCCGATGCGGCGTCGCGATCGTCGTCAGACTCAGAACTTCCACATTCTGCGGCTGTAATCTCGATATCATGAATCGCGCATCCAGGCCCCCCATACTATGCGCAATGATATTAACACTCTTGCCGTTGGCTTTCGCGGCAATATCTTTTCCCAATACCGCGGCCCGTTCTTCGATGCTGCCAGAGGCGGGTACGGAGGCAATTATAACTTCGATTCCTTTGGCGCGCAGAGCGTTGGTGATACCGCGCCAGTATTGTACAGCGGGGAGGAGGCTGCCTGCGATGCGGAATTCGTCGAAGCCGAAGAGACCATGGGCGAGAACGATGGGATGTTTGGGTGTAGCTGTTTGAAATAGTGAGCCCGACTACGCTGGCGAAAGATAAGATAGGAGGGAAAATACCATAACAATCTCTAATGGTAGCAAAATCATCCTCAATGGCCCTTCCAATATCACTCACTTTCGGATCCGCATTTCTCATGTCCTTTTCCTTTTCATATTTTCGGTCCGTCGAGGTATGGATCCGTGACGCATGTATACGTGAAGTATAAGCTTGGGGAGCACATGTTTGCGAGGTATGTATGGCTGAATCATGTATTTGTATTTGTATTTGTGAAGTTTTGGTAAGAGGTTTAGGACGTGAGGTATCAAAGGAGAGCATTATAGGTCGTTTTGCTCGTGGTGCATTGTAGGATAGCCATCTTTTCGATGCTACACGAGCGACCTGAAATGTCATAATTGAATCTTAAACATTGAGTTTGACTAAAAATATTTGGCATGTTGAGAAAGTTGGGTCAGAAGGTGTTTGGTGCTAGATAAAGTTCGCGGGGGTGAGATTTTGATGCTATTGTAAAACTAGTGACGTAGCTAGAAAGATGTGATTGGCTTCGAGGAGCGGAACGAACCTTTTGCTAAAAATAGTCGTATTAGATTACAATTTCCTCAAAGATCAATATCGTTGTTATATATGAAGGACTGTGTAGGATCCATGAGGATAAAGTTTGAGCACATTGCCACATATAATCTGTACCATAGCACTGATCTCAAATAGTGGATATCTTTGTTGTATTTGAATCGCAAGCTAGTCTATACACAGGTTATCATCAATTACCACTTCACCATAGCCGTGTCTTCAGTATAACTTTCATCATGGCGCAATATTGATAGTCCTCATCACCTCAATCATCCCTCTCCCAACTTTCCGTTGCCCAGCATCTTCCCCAAAGTTTCAAAATTGGATGCCCTACTTTGGTCCTTCAACACGTTCAGGTACAATAGGCTTCACATCAAAGACTGCCTTTAATAGATCCGATATGACCTGACTTTCCCCCTTCTTGCCTGCCTCCTTAATCTCCTTCAACTTGACCTCGGCATCCTCGTTGGCATCCTCTTCTGCTTTCTTGTTGCCGCTTGTGTGCTAGATCCAACATGTCAGCACTTCCATTCGTCCCAGCTATAATGTTTCCGTCCTCTCAGGCATAACATACCTCTGCCTCAAACTTTTTAAACTCGTCTTCCTTTTCCTTTTTATACGCATCGATTTCCTTCTTTGCCTCGTCTCTTGCTTCCTTTACACGTTTTGTGCGGACTGCTTCCCTATCAGCCTTGATCCCATGCCTTCCCCATTGTATTTTTGTAAACATCTACTCACACTCTCTAGCTGTAGATTGAGAACATTAGCATTCGATTCCAACAATACCAGTACTTCAGGAATCCAACTCACCTCTCTGAACAATCTTCTGCGCATCTCTCTCTGCCTAACCTCCAAATCAGTATCTCCATCCCCTCCCACTATCCTCAGAGTTCACACATACATCGAGCAACGTCTGAATACCCGCCGAATTCTGTGCCGACTATCATCGCACACCGTTAGCCAGACTCTCAATAACCCAACTTCCATACCATCCATGCACATATATTCCACCCCATCCAAACAACTGGACTAAACATACCATCTTCAAAACCGGACTCTAACCTGCACAAACAATAAAAGTTCTTGAAAGTATATTCTCTTGCAATTGTCAATTGTGTCCGAGAATCGTTATCAAAGCCGCGCAAGAGTAAAGTGGAGAGTGAACGTTGAATTTGGGGTTGCTCAAGCTTAGATAGCTCCAGCAGAAGAGCAAGCTCCTGGTGCACTGTAAGTACCCCTGTCCGGTAACTTCCGTCTGCGCCTATCGATAGCAGCTTCTCCATTCATGAGATCACTCTAGTTTGGATATTATTTTGTACTTCACACTACAAACTACATGAGGTATTTCGAATTGCGTTTATATTTTGAATTAAAAAACTCGAGAGATAGCCAACTCAATGTCTCGCGCAGCAAAATTTACACTTCTCGGCACATCCCTCTTCGCCGCCAGCACAATAGTCTTTGTACATTATGGGCAAACAGCTGAGAAAGCCGTATGATTTGCCCCTTCAACTTTTTTCGTCCCTCCCCTTTCCAGTTTCAGCCGCACATATGCTAAAACGATGGATTGTACAGGCAATGCACGCGGGCGTCATCCGGGACATGGAACAACAGCGTATTAAAAAGGAGCGCCAGTTAGACTTCGACATCCAGCGAGCGATGGAAGAGGAATATAGGAAGGTGCAGAATGTCAGTGATGGAACTGCGAGGTGATATGCTGCTGCGGCTTCGAACCCGTGTATATATTATACCTAGGCAAACGAACGTTGGAGTCATCTACACATTGAACGAGAGAAAATTGTATATTACGAAACTGGGTACAAGGCAATTAAAAGGATATGGGTGGATCCGTATGAGTATGAAAAGGAAGACCTCGAGGATTCCTAGGGATGTACAATAGTTGCAACACGCAAGCATGGAATAAAATAATGTGAGGATTCATGACGTACGGGTACAATTCGGTGATGAAGAAAATCCATCAATGCGGAAGTATAATGAACTTTTAAGACGAGAAATTGAGACCGATGCAGCATCAGATAATTTATCTGTTATTCTCTTGTTCTTTTTGGCTAAAGAGAACTTTTGATAAGATACAAAGTAGCAGCGCCATCCAAATTCATGATGAGCGCCCAATATATCGTTTTTCTGTGCCCCTCCAGCATTAGGTGATTTAAATATGTGGCAGATATTTCCGCGGATGACAAACGCAACCAAACTTCTTCATCCTATGCAGCAGCAGCAGCAGCAAGTAATTTGAATATCCCTTTTTAATGGTCACATTCTTTGACTTCCCTTCCCAAACGCCACGATATGCAAAGATGATGTCTCCCGCCAGGAAAATCAAAGTCTACCCCCATTTAGTCGTAATCAGATCATACAAAATCAGCGCACCGTGATACCAGATCTCTTGGTGAACATTCTTGTGGCAATGTTCATTGCTGCCAACTCTTGGAAAAGCAATTTGGCGGCGTACGGGATGTGGATTTGTGAGATCTTAGTCTTGTTCTTGCAAGGACGGCACTCGAAGGAACCAGTATTGATTTTACTATAATTAGGTTAGCAAAGCTCTATTTTCAATATTCTAATATGAACTTACGCAATCGGTGTCATGAGTCCACAAATATCACAGATATGAACTCTGAAAGCATCCGAAACTTCAAATAATCGCTCCTTCAAGAAAGCACTTGCACCATGAGAAATCATACAATCACGTTCCATCTCTCCGAAACGAAGACCACCATCTCTGGCACGACCTTCTACGGGTTGTCTGGTTAGAATCTGTACCGGACCTCTGGCACGGGCGTGAATCTTATCGTCGACCATGTGGCGCAAACGTTGGTAATATGTGGGGCCAAGGAATACTTGGGCCATCATCTTACGACCTGTATGACCATGATACATAATCTCAAAACCACGAGAATGGTAGCCATGTGCACGGAGTAGCTTGGAGACTGAATCGACAGTGACCTCAGTAAATGGTGTAGCATCGCCCTCAAGACCACGCAGAGTAGAGACTTTACTCAATTGACACTCGATCAAATGTGCGATTGTCATACGAGATGGAATGGCGTGGGGATTGATGATAATATCTGGAACAACGCCCTCTCTGGTGAAAGGCATGTCCTGTTGCATATATGTAATACCGATGGTTCCCTTTTGTCCGTGACGTGAAGCAAATTTGTCACCAATTTGAGGAATCTTGGTAGTTCTCATTCGAACCTTTACAAATCGGAGACCTTCGGCATTGGTAGTAATGAGTACTTGATCAACAATACCACTCTCAGTGCTTCGCAAAGGTGTTGATGCATCACGCTTGACATGGGATTTTGTGCGCTGACCCATCTCCTCGGAATCAGGAGCAATTGGCGCGGTTTTTCCGATGATAATATCGGCACCAGTGACCCGAACACCAGGAGCGACGATTCCATCATCATCGAGTTTATCATATGTACCTTGCTTAAGTTTAAGAGTGTCCGATCTATACGGTTTCTCAAATTGCTCGACCACGTTCATACCAATACGCTTTTCTTGATCGGTGTATGCCCGATAGAACAAACTCCGAAATAGTCCACGATCAATACTGCTTTGATTCATAATAACGGAATCTTCTTGATTGTAACCCGAGTAGCACATGATGGCTACAATGGCGTTTTGGCCTGCTGGCAATTCTCTGAATTTAAGAAACTCCATAGAACGTGTGGTGGCGAGAGGTTTCTGAGGATAATATAAAATATTGGCCATGGTATCCATGCGAACATCAAAATTAGTGAGGAAAACTCCCATAGCTTGTTTACCCATAGCGGATTGATAACAGTTACGAGGAGACTTTGTAGCAATATGATTAGCCTAAGATTAATGAATTCAATCTTGGACTTCAAGCTTACCTGATTGTGATCCGGGAATGGAATGATACTTGCACAGATACCCAGAATCATACTTGGATGGATTTCACAATGAGTCCAGATGTGTGCAGTAGGATTGATAGGTGCCTTGACACGCTTATTCAAATCACCACTCTCGTCAGGACGAATTTGGTAACCAGCCTGAAGCTGTCGGGAGATATCGAGATCTTCGGGTGTCATGGTAATCATAACAGTCTCTTCTTCCTCGGCGTCTAGGTATTCGACGACACCATCGTTAATCAAACCTTGAAATCCATAGTATCCTTGGTTTACTCGTTCTTCCTGATCCATGCTTGCTGGCAGCGACTGGTCATCCTCCAAACGGCGAATGTGATCCTTGTTCAATACCAAGTTACCTTTGTTGGCGCTATCGGGATCATTGTCAATGACCAATAGAGGTCTGCACACTCGTCCTGCATCGGTGAAGATTTTGAACTCTCTGTCTCGAATCTCTCGAATAAGTGAGACTTCATGTGAGATCAAGTGCGATCTACGAAGGTCTTGTACACACTTGACCAAATGGGCAGGATCTCGATGAACACCAACCCAAACACCATTGACGAAAACCTTTGTTGCATTGGGGGCTCGGAGTGGTTCATATTCCTCCAGCACTTCCATATTTCGCTGAATCATGAATTCAACGATTGGGTCACTTGGCGTACCAACTGTAACGTAACACATCAAAGCCAAATTCTTGACCAAACCACAAGCTTGACCTTCGGGCGTCTCTGCCGGGCAAACCAAACCCCAATGAGTATTATGTAGTTGTCTAGGTTTGGCGATTTTTCCATCACGTCCAATGGGCGTATTGGTTCGGCGCAAATGAGAAAGTGTTGATGCGAATGTATATCTATTCAATACTTGAGACACACCAGCAGTAGAGCTTGCTGCCTTCTTCTGGTCGCCCCAATTCCCTGTAGCCAAGGAATATTTCAGACCGTTCGTGATCGTCGTGGATTTCACACCTAACGTCAAATTGAACTCTCTGTTGTTTTCCACGCAACGTTGCAAGTATCTGTAAACATCTGAAGTCAATCTGCGGAACAAATTTCTAAAGAGCTTTGCAAGCAAAGGACCAGCTAAATCCAAACGCTTCTTGCCAAAATGATCTCGGTCATCAGTCTCCCGACGTCCGAGAGCACATTGAAGTAGCTTATGGACCATATAGCCCAAGAAGAAGGCTTTTCGGGTCTCGCTACCTTCTTTTTGCGAGATATGAGGCAGTAGTTCCTTCTGCATGATGTCGCGGGCATATTTAATACGCTTCTCACGAGTTAAGGATGTGCCATTACCACGCTTTCCAATGAAATCGAGGGCGACTTCACGATCTTGGATGACAAAAGCTTCCTCGATACATGGCTTCAACATCTCGAGCATTTGCGTGTCATTGCGATCATAACAGATATGGTTCAAGATGTCCTCGTCGGATACAACACCAAGTGCGCGAAAGACGATAGCTATGGGAATGTCTGCCTTGATGTAAGGTAAAGTTGACTTAACAGTTTTACCAAAACCTCCTCGGTTGCTGTCGCCTTTGTCGAATAATTTGATTTGTAAAGAAGAAATGAGGCGCGAACCCTTCTCTAGAGCACTTCGAATTTCAGCCAAGTACGAGACTGCGGTGTTGGCTGGCTTCTTGAAGACTTGTACGATGTTGGCCGCACTGCGCTCTTGAGCGATGAGAACCTTCTCACTTCCGTTGATGATAAAATATCCTCCTTGGTCGTAAGGGCATTCATTCCATTGGTAGAGATCGTCTTCGTCGAGATCCTTCAGCATACAGAATTCCGACTTCAGCATGATAGGCAATTTTCCAATATAAACTGAATCTGGTTTCGGAGCTCCTTTGTCACCGTTGGGGTCGCCGCCATCTTCATATTCCCAAATCAATCGTGTAGGATGTTCTCCGCCTCTCGCCAATTCGGCCTCCTGTTCGTCATCAAGCTCGTTCAAAGGAACGGGACGTTCAACCGCGACTTGAACGCTCTTCGTCATTTCCATGTAAAGAGGACTTGAATACGTGAGATTTCGTAAACGGGCTTCTTGTGGCAACATAACTTGTGTGCTGCCATCACCTTCGGTCATAGCTGGTCGCGAAAGCATAATGGTGCCGAACTTGATTTCGTATCGGCGGAGCGCGATAGGATTGGCATCGGTTGACGGTGGGTTATTTTGATCAAGGGTAAGTTGAGAGTTTTCTTCGACGAGCTCTTGCATAGTCGTTTGGACAAACTCATCGAAGGAATCGAGTTGTTGCGAGACTAGACCTTTTGCCTCGAAGAAGGAAGAAATAACCGTCCAGCAGTCCTCCGCCGTGATACCTGCATCCTCCTCTCCATAATCATCATACTCGTAACCTTCTTCGTAATCAGCCATATTGCGATGATGCGAATTCCACTATCCGTATGCGAATCGAGTTAGAATCGGAAGCTGATAAAATGCGTTGTTGAATTTGTCGCAAAGGCAAAGTTGAGAGCTGTCGCCTTTAACAAGAAATTGACGCGTCCTCAGGACCAGAAGGACCTTAAGAACAAAGAGACAATGGCATAAAGATCGTACAGAAATTGGGTGGAAGAAATCTAGAAAGTAGTACGATGATAATAGTGTTGTCGAAGTTAAGGCTCAAGTCTCAGGATTCAAGAAGTCAGGGAGAGATTGATAAGAGGTACAGAAATAATTCGACAGTGGAGGAACGCTTTCAAGGTTAATTAATGCCCAGAGTCATGTAAGCAAAAGTACAGCAATTGAGCTTAACCATTTGAGACTAGCTTGTACTGTGGAAGAACTAATTTCCGTGCCGAAGAAAGCCCCCTTACAGTTATTCCGTTTTGACTTCTTATCCGGTGAATCTCTACTCGATAACAGTACAGTGAATTGATCTTTTACAAATTGTATTTGTTTGCACATATTCGATAGACTTTGCAACTGGCAGAGTCTCAATGTCCTTTTCATTTCATGCTTGGTCTTGGATGGTCTGATGGGCCCAAAAATCTAGCTTGAACTTGAAGAAAGATAATCAATTTTGTTGATGGTGGCTCTTTATACTCGAATATTCGAGCTTGCACAGCTACTAGGTAGCTATCAGCAAAGTATATATGATTATCAGTATGAAGTTGCTGAACCTCATATCACAAGTGACGGATCATCATAACTCATTATGTCACATTCAGTGGTCGAAATCTGACACCACTTCCTCATACTCATACAATCAATTGTTTCTTCTATATACATATCTTCATTTGTTCCTTATGTACAGTCATATACATGTTACTCATTCTTTTAACTCCTTTGCATGTTTTTCATTAACCAAGACATAGCGATAACGAGCCTTTCCATCCTCCATATCAACAATGGCTTGGTTTGCATCCGACATTGGTCTCTCCTGAATCAAAGGGTGGATCTTATTCTTCGCAGCAAACTCCAACATCTCACTAATCTCTTTTGGTGTACCGATAGCACTGCCACCAAGCTTGACTCCCTTCCCGATGAAGGCGAACATGTTTAAAGCTGGGATGACATCCTCCGGGGCTCCAACTTGAATGAATTCTCCTTTGGTTTTTAACAATTGAAGATATCCAGCAATGGGCATCTTCGGGCTGGAGACGGTGCAAACGATCAAGTCGAGGGATCTAGAGTTCTTCTTGGCCCAATCCTGATCTTCGTCGGTAGCAATAAATCTGGTCGCACCCATCTTCTCCGCGTCGGCTTTCTTTGCGCCTGAACGGGAGATTGCAACAACCTCTTCGCAGCCGAGACCTTTGGCCCAAAGAAGACCAAAGTGACCTAGACCTCCGATGCCGACAATACCAACTCGTTTTTCGGGTCCGGCTCCATTGTTGACAAGGGGTGACCATGTTGTGACACCTCCACATAACATAGGGGCAGCTTCGGCCAGAGAAAGTCCATCAGGAATCTTGATAACAAAATGTGAGGGAGCACGGCAGTAATCTGCATAACCACCATATGATTTGGAGCCATCAGGATATGTTCCATTGTAAGTTCCAACCATCTTCGTGCAGTGATTCTCCATTCCACTTGCGCACTCCTCGCAATCTGGTTTCAGACAAGAACTTGATTGTGCACCAACACCACATCGATCACCAAGCTTGATATGCTTGACGTTCCTTCCAACCTTAACTGCGGTACCGGCTACTTCATGTCCTACACAGGCTGGATACTTTGTCGCACCCTGTAGCCAACCCGTCAGTCTTCTTTTCCGCCACCAAGAATAGAAGTACTCACCCATCCAGATCTTAAAGTGTGAAGGTCAGAACCGCAAATACCACAGTGGGTTATTTTGATATCGACATCATCCTCTGTCCATTTCTTGGGTTCATATTCTTGCCATACCATGTTTCCCTTGTCAGCCTCTTTATCTAGTGCCATCCATCCTTGAAATTTATATGAAGATGCCATCTTTGCTTTATATGAGTCTTCTGCTGGATCTGAGGAGTTTTTGAAGTGATTTTTGAGAGAAAGAATTCTGTGTGTTGCTACCGAAGCACAAGTTTCCGCAGGGTTCGACATGTTATAAGTATTCAATGCTCTACTCCAGGACACTACTCGAGTAGTCTTGGTATGTAATGTATGCTTGCATCCACTTTTCCCCAAGCTCTATAAATCGGCCGAAGAGTCAAAGTAAGTCGATGAAGGAGCGATTCTAAATCCGCAAAGAGCACCAATCACATACGTATCAAGTCGACTTTTCGAAGCTGGCCAACAATCGTCCTGTGTCGGAGACTCGGAGCAGGATGAAATCCCTTCTGGCAATAGCGATGACGTCGATAGTCTTGCTAATGAGCTAAAAAGTTTGGCGATCCCTGGGGATATTATTCAATGTTGGCTCCCCGCTCCAAATAGTAGCGCTGGCTCTATGGACGATCGGGAGTAGAAGAGAATCTAGATTTTTAACAATGGGAGTTCCAAGGAATTCTAAGTTTTCGATGAGAACATTTATGCATCAATAACTTCAGAGACTTTAGAATGCTGACTTTTTAGGCTTTATGGGATATGCGGAGCAAATGAAGGGGTCGATGCCGAGGTCTTGTGGCTGGAGATTATAGTGGATCTGATATCAATACTGTTCCAGCCAATGACGAACCTGTAACTCTTGTCTCAATTCGACCATCAAACCTCAGAACGATGCATCATATCTACATGAAAGAAGCTCGGGAAGTCTGGTGCTTTAATGAGAACAAATGACCTGGGAATTCTACCGAAGAAATTCGTATCGATCGAAACAAATGATCACGTTACAGCAGGAAGTGAACATGACAGGGAATGGGAATTGCTCCAGAAGGTACTCGACACTGACAGAGAGAAGATCGCGCAAAGCTGTCTGTTGAGAGGTATTCAGATTCAAAAGTGCCCGTCTTTCAGTTTATTTGGCACGGGCTCCGGCCGGGAAATTCCCAGATGATCCTACGGGTATTCCCTTCCATGATTCCTTCGCCAAAAGTGGATTTTATATTTGGAGGTTATAGATCTTTGGGATTAAAGGGTAACCAAGCGATAAGGTGTGGGAAATAGTTCCAACGTGATCCTGGCAGCAAGGCTGACCCAAGGTGGCCTACGCCGCTGCCCTCACGGGTTTGACATCTGATACCTGATACCTGGCATTTCTGGGTCCTGTACATTTGCTCATTTCAATTTCTTCAGGGGAAGAAAAGATCACCGTGGATGTTTAGTCTTCATTATCTCAATGGATGGACCATGAGACTCCTTTTCTCTTCTACCGTCAAAGAAGGCAAGGTCTGAAACCGTCTGTTTGGTATTAGCAGACTCTAGGCTCCCCGAGCCCAATCAACACCTGCCTAGTAACTTCATTTCCAAACTACTTTTTGATGTTCGCAATTTGATATACAAGCACCTTGTAGTGAATTTCCTACACCTCTTGCATATCACATGGTTTGAACTGTCGAAGAGTAAACCAAAGCAGTCATTAAATACCATTGTATCGCTGAAGTGGAAGATCACGTCGACTTCGAGGGCTCTTTTCGGTGGGAAGTGATACACAGAAAGTGCTCAGAAGCTTTGGACGCAAGATACATGAAGGGAAACATAGCGACGCATCAATCGTGGAGTATTATCCCATTGATATTGAGTTGCAAACGCTTTTAAGTACTGTATTAATCCTGAGTTTTCGCTATCAACAAAAAACAGGATGTTTTGGCGGATAATGGGGGTGGTATAAAGACATACCGAATCCCTCGACGGCATCTACTCTTCAATTATATTTAGCTTTGAGGCCGCAACTCGATCCTTATATCTAGTTCCACAGTTACAGCCAAACCCATTCGCTTTACATTTACGAGGAATTGCCCGGGTGGATCTAGATCGTGACAATCAAAAGATACTGGAGAAGAGTACGCATCTGCTAAGGAAGAAGCTAAGAACTGTAAATTGAGAATGAATGATATCTATCGATAGCGTTTGAGACAAATTTGGCTCTATCTACTGATACGATTCACATTCCGATCTGCTAATATCTCCGAATCACTCATTCCTCGTTGTCACAAGCCACTCAGCACCACATTTCCGACAATGTCTTAGCAGTGGAATGGGTCGTCGTGCAGACAGCGGGGTGGGGTGTATTTACTATTACTCGTGCGATGGAATTATATTTCCATTATCTTTCCCAATTTCGTCCTGTCATCTCTACGGCCTCCTTTTTCTTTCCTTCAAGCGAAACAAATTCTTTAAATCTACCGGCACAATGAAATATATTCTTGGCTCCCATTTTCTCACAGCTACTTTTATTATTTCTGTCCTTCTCCAAACCCCCCCAGTAGTCTCCGCTTTACCCACACCCCAATATCTTCAGGAATCCCTATCATCACAATTAACCCCAATATCCCCGCTAGATACAATTCGCTCGATAGAGGTCACAGTACCCCATCTAGATTTTCTTGCGCAGTATGTATATCCCCACTCCCACATTGCTAACAAGAGGCAGAATCCCGAGACTATAAAAATAGACAAAAGCCAAATCCGACAAATCTTAAGTCAAATCAGAATTCTAGAAGTGCAGTTCATGGATTTGATGGATGATATATCAGGAGGAATTCCGGATTCCAAAACGCCGAATATAAAGCCAGACATGGAGTCGCAAACGACATCGACGACTACGATTGAAAGGACCACCGCGGTTGTAAATTGGGTGACTGTTACGACTGGCTTAGAGAACCCCTCTGTAACTTCCTCATACATTACATCAGCTCCCGTGCCAGTCTCAAGTATAAATATCAAAGCCCAACCCTTGACTTCCCAAATTCCCGATAAGATAGCAACAGCATCTCTAGTGGAAATAGGTTTAGCAGCAACATCGACATCGACAAAATCGAAGTCATATATCTTCGACTCAAAATCCAACTCAAATATAGCAATTTACTACGGCCAGTCTCCCCTAACATCTTCCTTGTCCCTATCCGCCCAATGTGCAGATCCCAATATCGATATTGTCATCCTTGCATTCGTGACTTCTCGAACAGATCTTTCGGGCACCAGTAAATATCCCACCGTCAATTTCGGCGCCGCATGCAATTTTGCCCAAACACCTTTGATGGCTTCACAGGCCCCAGGTTTATTGTATTGTCCGGATTTAGCGATGGACATAGAAACATGTCAGGGAATGGGAAAGAAAGTGTTATTGAGTTTAGGGGGTTCGACCGGACAGATTGTTTTTGGAAGTGAGGACGAGGCAATAGGGTTTGCGGAGGTACTGTGGGGGTTGTTTGGGCCGCTGGAAGGGAGTGGGATGTAGATTGAGAGAAGATTAAGACCGTTTGGGGAGACGGTGTTGGATGGGTTTGACATTGGTATGTACATGTCAAATACTCAGTATATCCAACGACATTATCCCTCCCCTTTATTCATTTTAGACCTCTCGGAGATGAAAATTGATAACAAAATTTCTAGACAACGAGAACAAGCACCCCGAATATTACGAGACACTAGCCCGTGAATTCCGCCGGCTTTTCTCTACCGCTTCGGATAGAACATACTACCTATCCTCGGCCCCTCAATGTCCATTCCTTGACGCCTCGATCCCAACACCCATGCTTCTGCTCTGCGACTTTGTATTCGTACAGTTCTACAACAATCCTTCTTGTGAAATCGGTTCGAGCGGATTTGAAGCGAGTCTTAATCAGTGGGCTACTGCTTTGGAGGGGGGAGCAGAAAAGAGGAATTTGAAATGGTTTTTTGGGAGCGCCTGCTGTATGTACCTATCCCTAATTCTTGTCTCGACGGGAGCAGAATTTGCGAGCGAATTTGTGCTAATTGTGAGCTCCTTCCTAATGGTAGTGGAGCGCAGCAGGACCAGCGGCTTATGCGAATATCGGTGGAGCCGAAGGAATGAAAATTGTAGCGAGCCATGTGGCAAGTGGGAAATATGATAATTTTGGGGGCGTGATGTTTTGGGCTGTAAGTGCTATTTACATACTCGTATTCTTGAAGTTGTATCTCCTAAATAGCACAGTTATGTTGTAAATGAAATAGACCTCAAAAGCGAACTAACGAGATGAAAATAGGGACCAGAAGGATTAGCAAATGTGGAAGGGGGAAAGAATATCATGGCTTGGGCGAAAGAGGGGCTGGGAAATTGACTTTTCGGATATGTTTAAGTGTTTAAGGGGATAGAAATAGGGACATGAATTATCTGGCATTAAGTATGAATTTGCGTTGAAGGGGGGAGTATTGGGATGTTGGCGCTGCATGCATGCAGTAATTCTGTACTGATAACAGCGATGGCGATGGGTAACGGTTAATACTCGAGTAGTTATGATATTATGATATTATGATATTATGGAGATGCCTTGAAATGTTATTACTCTAAAATAATACAAAAACTTCTGAAACCGGTAAATGTGAGATAGATTACTTGAAAAGTAGTTTTCTTGAACCCAACATGGGAGCTAGGCGAAAGTAAAGTCTCAACTACAGAACTACTCGAGTATAAATGATTTGGTATGGTATGATATGACTGGAGGCATCTGGAAAATATGAATTGTTAACGTGAATATTTTGATGTATGAAGACAGGGAAGTATGTATGTATAGTAAGGAATACGGTGATCTTGGGTGAGGTTCACGGTTCCTTGGGATATCTGTACGCCTAGATTGGTGAACTGTAATATGGTGGACAACTAATGAGTAAACTACAAAGTTAAGTTACGTACGTAGGCTATGTCATCGAACGAGGGTAAATAAGTAGTGCCGCACCCACAATCATGGCAGACACAACACCAGAGCATTATTACTCTTACCAAGCCTATATTCATATGCTAGCTAGTCACCAATAAGTTACTATAAGAAAGAAACTACCATTTTACCACCCTCATTCCTTCCTTGTTTCTGAGCAGCCCAGCTCACCAAAACAACCCTCATTCTCAAAGATGTAAACTCCCAACCATCTCTCTAATAGCCCCAAACTGGTTTTCCCTAAAATCATCCGTCATCAACGTATTCTGCGTTTTCCCCAAATTAACCATCTGTCTCCCTTTCCCCCAAATGGGCCATTGCAGCGTCCCATTCCCAGTACTACTGTCATTTTCCCCCGTCCACCCCTTCCCATTTGGATCCAAAGTATTAACAAAATTGATATAATAATCTTGAATTGATTCCTGGGGAAACCCAAGGGTTTCTCCATAAGTAATCGCGACATCTGATCCGTGAGATGTGCCTACGACCGGTGTTCCATAACCATAGCTCGCGAGATATGAATACGAAGATGTGAGAGGGTGAGCAGCAAGTGCATAGGAAAGAAATAATCGTCGCGAAAGTGTGAAGCTTAAATCGCCTACTAGTGCTGCTAGACGTTTGTATTGCGGATATACATTGTTTGCAGCGCCGGTGCCAAAGGGGCTACCAGAAGCTGGGTCATCGGGATAGGAGGATATCAGGGTTGAGATTTGTGAGGAAGTGGCGTCGGGGAAGATGATGGTGTGGAAATAGTTTTCGAGGTCGGCGGTGGTGGAGAGGTTGGAGGGGCCGAAAGAGAAGACGGTTCCTTCGTCTTCTTGGTCGCCGATTATGAAGGGGATTGGGGCGAAGAGACCTTGGGAGGCAAGGAGCTCGGGGGAAAGGGGGAGCACTCCACCGTGGTGATCGGGACGGGGGAGATACGGGATGGCGATGGAGTTGTAGGAGGATAATGAGGGGAGAGATAAGGTAGCGGATAAAAATTTGTCATAGGGGAGGTTGCGTAGACAAGTGAGTGTGTGAGTCGAATTTGCACAGCCGGATGCAAGAACGACTTGGTTGTATACGGATTGTGCACGAGGACTATCAACGGGATCGGCTGGGGTAATAGATCCCGAATCCATGATTGCGCCTCGGAAAAGTGGTTTATCTTTATAATGGTATTGGCCACCATACAATGCCATTTGGTCGAATGCAGAGATAGACCCGGCGGATTCACCCCATATGGTAACTTTATCAGGATCCCCTCCAAAAGCAGCGATATTATCGGCTACCCATTGGAGACCTAGTCGTTGATCCAGGAGCCCGAGATTAGAAGAGCCATCGCGTAGGATCTCGGAACCGCCGAGGAACCCGAAGCCCCCAAGACGGTAGTTGACTGCTACGTAGATTATAGGTTGATGATTGGAGATGGAGGTCTGGAGAAGTTGGGATGCATCAAAAGATTGGGTGGACCCGCCTTGGAAGGCACCGCCGTAGATCCAGAAGAGGACGGGGAGTTTGGAGTTTTTGGTGCTGTTGGAGGGCCGTTGGACGTTGATTGTTAGGCAATCCTCGCCGATTGGAGTGGAGGCTTCGGATACCAGGCGAGGGAATAGGTTGGCGCGGACATCGAGCGGAAGCGATGCCGGGGCTGATTTAGAACCTTGGGGACATGCGGTGGGGATATCAGTTGCTTGGATTGTTCCGAGGTGCGAAGTGATGCGTTGGGGAGGTTTCAGACGAAGTGATCCAATGGGTGGTTGTGCATAGGGAATTCCTTTGAAGGTGTCGATTCCTGTTGAGCCAGTACCGATGATGTTTGCATATGATAGTTGGACACTTGGTGCTACCTGGCGTTTTTCCGGAGCAGGTAAAGCTGAACTAACGGAAATCAGGAACGAGATAGCTAGACTTAGGAGATACATCTTGTTAAACCTTGAAAGACGAAAGTTTGCAACTCAAGATATTGTTCCTAAGCTAAGATGTCAATGAGCTTCATTACTCCATCGTTGAGGGGTATGGGCAATCGATCACAGTTATATAGCTCAGACTCATTCAACAAACGCGGGGAATATGCAAAGAAGTCACAGATGCGCCTCTGACGCTCATCACCCTGGATTCATAATTATCCCATCTTCAAGTTTCGGAAACTCTTCCAATTCCAGAATGATCTGTAGAACAAACCGCTGGATTGGGATTATAGTACACTTGTACTATTACCCACGGCAGTTGAACGGTAAAAGTATTGATAGGCTAAATTGCGCATCGGGGGTATCTCTTCCTGTTCCGCTGGATAAGTGCAGACACCGGTGTGTTACCTTCCCCACTCCCACTGTTGTTGACTTGAAGAGTTGTATAACATCCACAATTTTCGATATACTTTTTCAAGTAGCTCTGATGTACCCCGCAATGGCCTGTACATGAAGTTTGTAAATGAAGCACTAGCTTCAAACGTTTAGCCAATGGACATTATGCTTCAATATACGTATGCTTCATCCCCGGGGAAACACAATGAGCGAGCTCCCGGTGAGCTCTAGCGTGGTTATTGCAGAACATTTTTACAATCAGTTCCCGGTGGGGTATAAATAACTCCCATGTGAGCTTCCACAACAAATTTGTTGCTTTTCAAGTCCGGCAATAATGTCTTTTCATCTTCTACTCGAGTAGATCAATTCTCTACCGATCACCGTCCGAAGCCGGCGGCCTAGCGGCCCAGTTGTTCTGTATTTGAGCTGGTGTTATGGACATGAAAGTCATGTAAAGTCATTTCCGAAGTCTAGATTGCAACTCAAGAAGAACTCGAATAATTAGTTCTCCTGGATTCATTCTGTAGGAGACTATTGGTTGGCACATTGAAATCAATTTTGGACATTGATATTGAAAAGCCAAAGATTGGAAATATCCTTGTAATTCAAGGACGCCGATTGGTTGATTGGACCTCGGTGGTTTACCCCTGTCCCCAGGTTTCGGTAACATTCCCAAATCACAACTAGTAATCACGGCGCGTTCCAATTGTTCCCCAGAATATGTTAATATTGTATTTTACTCTTTTTCCTTTCTTTTTCCTTTGATTCCCCCTCTGGTGCTCATCAACCTACTTTCCTTCAATATATCACAATGCCACATCGCACTCTCACTCGGGATGAAGTCTCCAAAAACAACACCGAGGAATCCCTCTGGTTCATCATTGATAGCAAAGTCTACGATGTCACCGAGTTTGTAGATGCACACCCAGGCGGAGAATCCGTCTTAAAGCAAGTCGCAGGTACAGACGCAACTGAAGCATTCTACAATCTACATAGACAAGAAGTCCTACAAAAATACTCCAATCTATGTATCGGCACGATCGAAGGCGAAAAATCACAAGTTATTGAACAGAATATTGGAGACTTGAGTGTTATACCATATGGAGAACCTACATGGTTGACTCCACAATTTAAGAGTCCTTATTATAAGGAAAGTCATAGGAGGTTGCAGAAGGCGATGAGAGTGTTCACAGATAAATATGTTACACCTGTTGCGCAGGAGTGTGAGAAGACAGGAGCACATATCCCACAACATCTAATCGATAGAATGTCGAAGGCGGGCATTTTGCATATGAGGTTGGGTCCAGGAAAACATTTGCATGGAGTTGACCTAATGGGTGGCGCTGTGAAGGGGGAGGAATTTGATTACTTTCATGATATGATTGTTGGTCAGGAGAGTGTTCGCGCCAATGCGAGAGGATTTCAAGATGGTAACATGGTTAGTTATCATCCTATGTTCCCGTACTGAATTCACTCAATGTCTCAATACATGACTGACATTCAATCACAGGCAGGTATGACCATTTCTCTAACAGCGGTTCTTCAATTTGCCAACGATGAGGCATGGAAGAACAAAATTGCCGCAGAGGTGTTCAGTGGAAAGAAGAAGATTTGCTTGGCTATCACTGAAGCATTTGCTGGATCTGATGTTGCAGGCATTCGAACAACTGCGGAGAAGACCAAGGATGGCAAACACTATATCGTTAATGGTACCAAGAAATGGATCACTAACGGCGTATTTTGCGATTATTTCGTTACTGGTGTCAAGACAGGTACTGTTAATCTCTATTTCTTTTGGTTAGATTCATATACTAATAATTCTCTAGATAAGGGACTCTCTGTCGTTTTAATCGAAAGAGGTGAGGGTGTAGAGACAACACCCATCAAGACATCGTATTCTCCAACAGCTGGAACTGCCTATATCACTTTCGATAATGTAAAGGTTCCAGTGGAGAACCTCTTGGGTGTTGAAAATAAGGGTATTCACGTTATTCTCAGTAACTTCAACCATGAAAGATGGATGATGGCTAGTGGCGTCACTCGTATGATGCGACTAGCAACAGAAGAATGCATCAAATGGAGTAATCAACGATTGGTGTTCGGCAAAAAGTTGACTGAACAACCAGTCATCCGTCAAAAGTAAGTTTCGATTGCTTCAACCCAATTGACGCACCGACTGACCCGTCCAGGCTTGCGAAAATGATATCTCACTGTGAAGCAAACCAAGCATGGTTAGAAAACATCACATATCAAATGACACTCATGCCATACAAAAAACAAGCTACACATCTAGCTGGTCCAATCGGTCTTCTTAAGATGTTCGCTACACGATCAGCTCACGAATGCGCGGATGAAGCTGTGCAGATATTTGGTGGACGTGCACTTACCCAGGGTGGCATGGGGAAGACTATTGAGATGTTCCATAGAACGTGAGTACATGTCATGAGAAATACAGAATCAAAGATCTCACTGACATCTTCTAGGTACAAATTTGATGCTATTTTAGGTGGAGCTGAAGAGGTTTTGGGCGATTTGGGAGTGAGACAGGCGCTCAAAAATATGCCAAAGAGTATGTTGTAGATTGTCACGGTGGTATACGGAGACAGGTGTTTTGGGAAAACAGCACGAGTTTGGAATGATTTGGAATTGAATCGATATACCCAGAGCTATACCGCTAGATATAACATAATATGATCTATTCTATCATCTAGTTCTGTCTGTTAATTATCGGTAATCAAATAGGGATACCCGAGCTCGGAAACGCCTTCCGAGGGTTTCTAGTAGACCGGACTACGGTTCAATAGTGGAATATTCTTCAATATATTTAATTTCCATCTGGGATTATGAGTCTATTTGGCAGTTTTGATTCATTGGATATGTTAAATTTGTTTGGAAGAAAGAATTTATATTGATTGAGCCTTAGATCTTAGATCTACTCGAGTGCTTTACCTATCAAGAATATTGAATCCGCTCAGGTTTGCATTGCAGTCAAAACTATTGGAAACCCGTATGCCTCCGAAAAGTTCAATCTATCAATACGTAACAGCTATGGGCCCAAAATCAATTCACTCCCACTCCCACTCCCACTCCCACTCATCGAGGAAGAATAGGGGCGGATTTCGAAAGCTCCCACCAAAAGCTTATCGCTCTTATCATCGGAAGGACCCCGCCATCCCCATTCCTGCTCACATGCAGCTCCCTATTCTGTAACCCATTCCGCGGATGAATCATCGGACATGTACCCAAGTAATTCATTTGATCTGCAGGTGTTCATTGATTGTGCTCAGAGAAGATAAATGGACTAAGCTGCCGAAGATTTAATAGATTAAATCTTCTCGACTTATTTACTCAAACAGCTTCATTAATTCGCGACTTCAGCTTCTTTCTCACCAACAACTCTCACTCTCAACCCCGCAATCATGTCTAGAGTCAAAGATCTCCCATGGCCTTCCCAAATACCAGATGATGAATATGCCGAGCTAGCTGCTGGCATTCCTGCAAAGGATGAACCGTTCATTGACAAGTATCTCTGTGGTAGAGAGGCACTTATAGATCAAGAAAAGCAGCAGCGCAGCGGTTGGTCACAATTTCATATCATATCACATCCTATAGCTTAGCTAGCTATTCTTGCAATTCGCACCTACTTATATACATTTTTCGCCACAGACTATGCATTCAAATCGACGCTCTCGCCTCTAGCCCAAGAAGCCTGCGATGTCGTCGCCCGTATCCGCCTCGAAGAACAAGCCTCGATTTGGACCTCCGAATTCGAAAACCATGTCGCGCAGGAAACGGGGAAGAATGTGTATCCGGGCATGATGTTTAGTTTGGCAAAGGAAAAAATGGTAAAGACGAGGTTATGGCGGATTCTAAAAAAAATGCCGAAAGGTGCGCTGTTGCATGCGCATATGGATGCGATGGTTGATTATGATTTCTTGTTTGAGGAATTGCTGAAGACGGAGGGGATGTGCATTTTCTGTGATAGAGCGTTGGATTCGCCGAAGAGTAGGGAGGCTGGTCCGGTTAAGTTTAGGTGGAGGAAGAAGGGGGATGGGGAGGGCGCTGAAATTTGGAAGGGGGGTTATAAACCGTTTACTTTTGTGCCCTTGAAGGATGCTGCGGAGGCTTTTCCTGATGGCGGAAGAGAGGGGTTTCTGGCTTGGCTTAGGAGTCGATGCACGATTACTGATACTGAGTCTATTGAACATCACCATGGTGTTGATGCAGTATGGAGAAAGTTCTCCTCGGTATTTACGATCCTGAACACTGTCATCTTTTATGAACCTATCTTTAGGGCTTTCATGCAGAGGATGATGCGGTCTTTACTTGCTGATGGTGTCAGGTGGGTGGATTTACGATTGGCTTTTACTTTCTTCTACTATAGTGAAGGACAGGAGAAAGCAGATGATACATACAGCAATATGTTCCAAGTTTTTGGAGAAGAGATTGAGAAGTTCAAGACATCGGAAGAGGGCAAAGGATTCTGGGGCGCAAGGATGATCTGGACTGGCCTTCGAGTTCTGGATACAAGAAAGATTGTGGAAGATATGGATGCTTGCTTGACCATCAAAATGACTTATCCGAATCTCGTATCTGGATACGATCTTGTCGGCCAAGAAGATGCGGGAAGACCATTAAAAGATCTCCTCCCAGAGCTCTTCTGGTTCAAAAAACAGTGTGCTCAAGAAGGAGTTGAGATTCCATTTTTCTTCCACGCAGGGGAATGTCTCGGTGATGGTAGCGATACAGATCAGAACCTCTTTGATGCCGTCCTACTTGGAACTCGTAGAATTGGCCATGGATTTTCATTGTACAAGCATCCTCTACTAATCGACTTGGTCAAGGAAAAGAAGATTCTCGTAGAGAGTTGTCCAATTTCAAACGAAGTTCTTCGGCTTTGCGCTTCCATCATGTCGCATCCTCTCCCAGCACTTCTCGCTCGAGGAGTCCCCTGTTCTCTTTGTAACGACGACCCTTCGATTCTCGGCCAAGATGTCAATGGAATGACGCATGATTTCTGGCAAGCACTGCAGGGCTGGGATAATCTCGGACTCGCGGGTCTGGGTTCGCTGGCTGAGAATAGTGTGAGGTGGGCAGCGTTCGAGGATCAAAATGGTGCGAAGTGGCTAGAGGATATCAAGGATGCCTCGTTGGGAAGTGGTGTGAGAGCGAGGAGGTTGCAAGAATGGAGTGTGGAGTGGGAACAATTTTGCTTGTGGATCGTGACGGAGTTTGGGGATCTTGAAGAGAGTCTGAGGAAAATTAGAGAAGATGGGGATGGTTCCCTGGCTGAACAAGATTAACTGGGGTAGGTTCGAAGATAATATACCTAGAGTTAACTATCGGAGTTGATGGGACTTGTTGGGGAAAGCATATGCATTCAACACGGCGATTTAGGTGTAATTGGGAAAATAAAATATACTCGATTGGAAGTCAGAAATTCAACATTCAAAGCATACAGAACACAGATATTTTGCGTGATATACATGTATATCATCTGATATCGTGAATACGATTTTCAGTTGTACAAAGTTCCCCTGATACAATGGAAAATGTCTAAGGGTATCATCATCCGGACTTTGACCGAGTATCTAATGGGTCATGTACCGGTACTTGTAGTATTGACTCGCGCGAGTCCCGTTGAACTGATCGTAAATTTGGTGATTTACAAGTTGAATGATGAGAATTGGAAATCATAATATATTACAGTAACACAAGAAATACGAAGTTAATCATTTAGCCATCATATATTATTTATATGTATACCGCATCCCATCAATACAATGTCAGAAGCCATACCCGTACCAGAACGTTACTATAAGTGGTTTCTTATCGATAAGGATTATTCCCCGAAAGCAATCAATATAAAACGGGGCATCCAGTCAATCTAATCTTCTCTTCTACCTAAACCAACCTTTCCACCTACAACCACAACTGAATGATTCAAATGGTACGGTAGGGATTCTTGATTCAATAGTGGCGAGTGAGTACCGACCAATACATTCACTTATCAGTATCGATATATTCGTATATTCGAGAGTTAGCGACTAAGGAATAGTATGTACGGTCAGATATGATGCCCATCTTGCACCAGACAATCTTAGTGCACGAGGTCGACGTCAGGAGCCGCCGTCCCTCTTGAGACATAATCTTCAACCAGACATACCGGAACTCTTTAATTACTTTCTTACTGGTGTTCCTTAATTGCTTAGAGGCTTTTGTTCTTTTAACAACTTCTAATAATACCTTAACATACCAAGTCGCAAGCAAAAATGGCGTCTTATTTCCAAAACTATTTTCAAGCATCCTCGATGCCCAAACGATTGCTTCAATATGCGCTTTCGAGACTGGAGATCCTCGATACAGAGGCGCTGGACTTGGAGAACTTGGATATTGCGTGGGGAAAGAATAGCACATTTGAATTTAAGGATGTTGGGTTGAGGTTAAAGGTAGTTATGTCGTCATTCTCGGTTTCGACGATGAGGATGAGGATGAGGATGAGGATGTGAATGTGGATGTGATGCTAATGTGCGAGGTTTAGAAACTCGAGACTTTACTGCAACTTCCAACTACGATCGCAATAACCAAAGCTAAAGTACTACTGCTGCGACTCACAATACCAGTGGACATATATAGTAGCCCGATATTGGTGGAGGTTGAGGGGGTGGATTGCCAGTTGAGAGTACGGGAGGAGAAGAGCACACATAATTCGCGGACAAACCATGACCGGTTACGGAAGAAGTCGATATCGAGGAATCCAGGCCCAGATCCCACGCTTCCAACTGCGGCGGATCTTGCAGCATCATTTCTACAAACGGAGCCGAGAGAAGAGAAGGCAGAGTTGGAGGCAGCAATACTTGGGGAGACACGGGATATGTCAGAATCCGTTGCATCTAGTGAGGATGGAGATATGGACGTACCCGTTGGGACCGGAACAGCTCTCTCGTTGCCCGCATTCATGGCGAGGTTTTTACAGGGGATTGTGGATCGATTACAGGTACGGGTACATGGAATTACCTTTAACGTGGATGTCGATATTGCCGCGGAAGCACCCATGCCAAATCATACCAAAGATCCGGTTACTTTACAGCTGAAGATTGACGATGTCGACATAGAGGGCGTTACTCATGATATCGAATCTACCCAGGCAAAAGGGGGAAAAGATATTACGTCATTGTTTAAGGAAGGAAAGAGACTCATCTGTCTGAGTAATATACGGGGAGCACTCATCTCAGAAGCCAACCTGTTTCAAACTCTCTCTCGCTCGTCCTCCGTCGTATCCCCAGTAGCTACGCACTCTGATATATCCGAGTCTAGGCGGGCTACTGAAAAGCAGCGATCTTCTGAAGAAACACAGGTCTTATCACCAGAAAGTGTGCGTGCATTTGATGGAGCAACTTCTATTAGTCCTCTTTCGTCGCCTGTGTCATCAAGAAGACCCTCAGAATCTTCTCTCCCCGAAATTAGACGTCCGTCACCACCCTTGAGACATTCACCGCCGTTAAAAGCTTCGATAGTTGCTAGTGACAGTGGACGATTCGATGATGCATCTGAAGATGGGCACTCCAATCGTTCTGGTAGCGTGCTCGGGGATATCGATAGTGAGATGGGAGACAGTATTCTCCAAAACTCGGCGTATCTGGACCAGATCACTGAGTCTCAATTTTTGGACGATCACGAGAAAGACGAATGGAGGAGACCTTCATCTTCTCAGTCTGGAACAGAGAGAGAAGGTGCTTCTAAGAAAAACTCGCGAACATCAACACCCAGGGCCTCGACTCACGTTTCTCCATCCTCTAGTCAGGCTCTGGAGATCAACACATTCCCTAGTTTAAGCAGAGCGCATAACATGTTGCAGTCCACGATGTTACCTCCGAGGGCTCATACTAGATTTTCTGTGGAGCGAGTATCTCACTCACAGCCCACGCTTCCGCCTAAGGCAGCGGCACTTAATCAGAGCTATTCCGGCCAGCAACTTAGGCCTTTGCCAGACGTTGATGCTATGAGTGAAAGTGGGAGCTCAGTCATTTCAATCTCGAATGAAGACGTGGGCGAGGACCTCGCACAATCTCAGTTGTTCAGCCATGAAGATGCCGAGAGTATGTATATGAGTGCCCTCTCTTACACCTCCGCTGCTCCAATCCCTGGTGGCTGGGCAGATTCCGGCACTGACAGCGAATATGCGCGGTCTCCGCCAGCCACACCTAGGGGCTCTAATCTACCAGATACATGTGACAATCTCGAGCATGCTCGTCATGTTAATCCTCTGGGTGGCGCATCAGATGAAGATCCTCTCGAGCAATCCACAATACTACCTTCAAGGTCGCTGCACGAATCGAAAAGGAGTTTTGGTTCCATGCGCCCGGAAACTCCTCGTCAATCCTCACCGTTACAAAAAGTTCCAAGCAATGTTTCGGTGAAATCAACTGCTTCTACTGATGACTATAGCCGAATGACGAAGCAGATCTTTAGCCTCGATCAAGTCGCAATCTACATACCAGCGATGAATGATCCTTCCTCTGATCCAGTAGATGCCGTCGCGGAATCTACACTATTCGGCAGCACCTTTGATGGACATAATGATACTTCTCCCTCAAAATTGATGAATCTTCCTGGGTCATTTTATACGCATTTACCTAGAGAACCACCTTTGCGTTCATTGCCCAGACCTGCACCGCGGATTACAGTACAGCCAGCGAAGAAGCTTGAAGAGGACAAATCGATTGAGGTTGATGTGGGGACCTTACTGGCTTATTTTGATGTATCTGTAGGCAGGCTGATTTACAAACTTGTTTGCCAGATTCAAGAATCTATAAAACAAGAGCCACAAGCCACTGCAATAAGCAAACCCACAATCAGCTCTCCTGAACCACACCTTAAGATCAGTGCCAAAGAGATTTCACTTATGTTTTTGGAACGACTTGAGGGTAAGCTAGGCTCACACAGTGCACAATCAACCGAAAAGACATTAGATTCGGATGTTCTTCTCAGGACTACATTGAAGGGGCTTAACGTCTCTAGAAAGTCCTCGGGTTCTATAATCCAGACTGGCATAACACTCCAGAAATTCCTTTTCGGCTATGCTCAAGAAAATATCGTTTCTTTTGATACTGGTCTCCAAATGAGGGCTTCTGTTCGTGATCTAGCCGCTTCTGCTGGTATCGATGTGTCTGTCGATATATACCAAAGTCCTGATAGTACTCGATATGACGTACAGACATTACCATTGCATGTGGCGGTCGACCTGCAACGACTTGATGAGACCTTTAGTTGGTTTGGAGGATTGGGCAGCGTGCTTAACCTTGGTAGCTCGATAGCGTCAAATGCGACGGTCACTTCTAGCCCTGCACTAAAACCGAAGTCTAAGGGTGTACGATTCGATACGCCTATCGAACCTGATGATCAGACGGTGGCAGCGCAGAATAAAGCAGATGTTAGAATTGGCGGACTTATTTTGAACTTGGTTGGTACTGATTGCAGCGTGGGAGTTGAAACATCTGCTGTGAAGCTAGTCAGTCGAGAGGAAGTAATAGGCATCGCCATCAACAAGATCAGATTGTCCGGGCCGCACCTCAAGCATTCGAATGAAGATCCTGTCATCTTGGTAGATGTTTCTAAAACACGAGTTGAGTTCTTAAACTCGCCTCAGGATACTGATATAGGCCGATTGCTGGACCTGATCGCACCGTCAAAATCGAAGTATGATCAGGATGATGATATCCTCTTAGACACCCTTCTTCGTCAACGTCGACAAGGGTCTGTACTACGACTTACTGTAGATGATCTACAGGTCAAGATGGGTAGACTACACGAGCTTAGCTACCTGCCAGAATTGGGCGAAGAGGTTGCGAGACTGTCGACCGTCGCAAAGTATCTACCTGACGATGATCGACCAGGTCTCCTCTCTTTGGTATCAGTCAAGAATTTTGGGGTCGATATCAATGTCAATAACACTGTGGGTAGTGTTCAGCTCAACGCAACGGATTTGGAGGTGGCGCAGATCCCGATACCATCTCTAGTAGCGCTCAGTATCGCCACGGTTTCTGCTCATCGAAACTATTCTGAGGAATTGATCGGTGCGGGCACAGATCAAGTGTTTAAGGAGTCGGAAACGCGAACTTCGACTATAATGGCTCGACTGATTGGCGATGAGATGGAGCCAATCGTGAGGATTAAAGTTTGGAATCTGAGGGCCGAGTACCGTGTGCCTACACTGATGGTACTACTCGGACTGGCGGATGGTACAACCGGAGATGACTTATCATCAAGTCTTACGGCTTCAGTCGCTACTCTAAGGGATTTGGCACAACCTAGAACTTCAAAGGGCAAGGGGAAAAGCGTCGAGAAGAGTCCTATACCCAACAGTAGTCAAGCAAAACCCATGACGATTGATGTTGTCCTAACAGACTGCATCTTGGGTCTTAATCCCCTTGGCTTACCTTCAAAGATTCTCGTTGTGTTCACTGAGGCACATATCGCTGCAGTTTTGCCAAAGGATCAGAACGCAAGTGCCACGGCCGAATTGAGCAAGGCTTCTCTCCTAGTCATCGACAATATCGCACACCTTTCAAGTACTTTGCCGTTAAATCGCAAAAGAAATTCCTTCGATGGTGGCAGTAATCAAGTCTCAGATCTTTGTGCAATGGGGTATGTGTCAGTTAGTTATATGTCATCTGCGAAAGCCACCGTTTTTCTTTCTGTCGACGAAGATGGTCAGAATTGTTTAGATGTCGAGCTGCGAGATGATCTCTTCGTTCTTGAATCGTGCGCTGATTCTACGCAAACATTGATCAATGCACTTGGTAAATTGGCTCCGCCGGCACCACCTCCAAGCAAGGAAACCAAGTACCGCACGAAAATTATCCCAGTCAAGGATCTACTGGCATCTTTATCTGGCGATGCATTTGGAACTGCTGAGGGTAACTACGATTTCGATAACGATTTTGGCGATCTTGCGGATGTGGTAGAAGAAGATGAGGGAGAGGGCGAGCTTGGTTTTGACTCGGAGTACTACATAGATGAATCCGACGAAGGGTATAGACAAGCAGTCCTCGAAGATTTGGACGAGTCTTTAGCATCCTTGAACTTAACGGTACGCGAGACTCGAGATGGTGTGTTACTGGACAGTTTTGTGGAAGAACCGGAAGTTGGAAACGGTGCTTTGTCGTTTCATGAAGATCATTTTGGCACAGGCACAGGCTCAGTACTGGAAGGGACAGCTCATAGGTGGAACTCTGCGAGGAACACCTATGACACATCCAACGAAAGGAAGGTTCAAAAGAGTCCGTTGAAAATTTGCATTCGAGACGTTCACATCATCTGGAACCTATTCGATGGGTATGATTGGCAAGCCACTCGAGATGCCATCTCAAAAGCTGTCCAAGATGTCGAATCAAAAGCCATCGAAAAGCGAGCTCGTAATGAAAGACGGCCAACCTTTGAGCAAGACATTGATGATGATGAAGACACTGAGATTGGGGACTTCTTATTCAACTCGATATGGGTTGGCATTCCAAACAATCGTGATCCTCGAGAACTTGCCGCCGCGATTAACCAGGAATTGAACGACAACGCTACCGAGACGGAGTCAATAGCTACGACCAACTATACAGTCACTCCAAGTAGACAAGGAAGTGGTCACAAGCCCAAGAAGCTTCGACTCAGTCGAAGTAAACACCACAAGATCACTTTCGAGCTGAGGGGAGTCTGTGTCGACCTTGTGACTTTCCCTCCTAGTGGCGAGACCCAAAGTTCTGTGGATATTCGTGTTCATGATCTCGAGGTTTTTGATCATATTCCCACTTCTACTTGGAGGAAATTTGCTACTTATATGCAAGATGCAGGTGAGAGGGAAAAGGGGTCAAACATGGCTCATATTGAGATCCTAAATGTCAAGCCTGTTTCGTACCTAGCTGCATCTGAAATTGTTCTCAAAGTAACAATTCTTCCACTTCGCCTTCACGTTGATCAGGACGCTCTCGACTTCATCACCAGGTTCTTCGAGTTCAAAGAGGAGTCGGATATCCTACCAGGAGCACCAAGCGAAGAGCCTTTTCTTCAAAGAGTCGAAGTCAATTCCGTACAAGTCAAACTTGACTTCAAGCCGAAACGCGTTGATTACGCTGGTCTTCGTTCCGGTCACACGACCGAATTCATGAACTTCTTAATCCTAGACGAAGCAGATATGACTCTTAGGCATACCATCATCTACGGTATATCTGGATTTGAGAAGATGGGCAAATGTCTCAATGATATTTGGATGCCAGATATAAAGAGGAATCAACTCCCTGGTATCTTGGCCGGCTTAGCTCCAGTCCGTTCAATTGTCAATGTCGGAGGTGGCATCAAAGATCTCGTGGTGATACCAATGCACGAATACAAGAAGGATGGTCGTATAGTCCGTAGCATCTCCAAAGGCGCCGCCGCCTTTGCGAAAACGACCGGTACCGAGCTTGTCAAACTCGGAGCGAAAGTTGCCATTGGCGTGCAAACTGTCCTTCAAGGCGCGGAAGATTTCCTAGGCCCTCAAGACTCTCCCCATTCCCATTCCCATGGCAACTCCAGCGAAGATGAAGAAGAGCGCAAGCAGATCTCGCTCTATGCCAATCAACCTGTAGGTGTATTCCAAGGCCTTAGAGGCGGATATGCAGGGTTGCAAAGAGATTTGATCATGGCGCGCGATGCAATTATTGCTGTCCCTGGAGAGGTGATGGAAGGGGGTAATGCGAAGGGAGTCTTGAGGGCAGTGAGGAAACATGCTCCCACTGTCATACTGAGGCCGGCAATTGGGGTTGCGAAGGGAGCGGGGCAGGTGTTGATGGGTGCTACGAATAGCTTGGATAAGAGGAATTTGGAGAGGGCTGATGCTGTGAGTTTTAATCTTCGATTTGTTTTTCGTTTTGCGGAGGTGATTTACTAATTTTTCTTACAGAAATATAAAAAGCATTGAGCCTCTTTTCATACTGAGTAGCCAACCCTTCATTATCTGCATCGACTGCGAGAATATGCAACTTTGAAGGAGGAGGATAAGGGGGACGAGAAGGAATTACGAAAGCTGAATAATCGATTTGGTTTGAAATTGGTAATGATTCATATATTATTTTACATTGCGAGAAAGCAATTAAGCATGGCGGGGTAGTTCTTGTATGAGCATTGAGAATGGTGCATTTCTTTTCCCTTTCTTACAAGTCTAGTTTATCTTCTCTTTTCCTTTTACAGTTGAGATTTATGGATGGAGTTCCTCGGTGGGTTTTTGGATGGAGGTGGGATTTATATTTATGGATTGGGGTGCTCAAGGATGGATGGGTTGATGGATGAGGGGAGGCTTAAAGGGTTTATTTAGGACGGCAATGGACCTTGATATGATAGGGCATGCATTGCATGGATTATACTAGATTGATTGATTGATTGATTGATCGGGAAGTGAGGAGATGGAAATGGAGATGGAAATGGAGATGGATATGGAGATAGGGATGAATATACAATACAATACATATATATATATATATACTCGTACATGATATTCGAAATGGAATGGGTTTGAAATCATTAGATTTAGTCTGTGGTCTGGTGATATGATATGATGTGGTGTGATGTGGTGTTCTTTATATAATATTCTTCATGTAATTGTGATAGTGATATATTACATATTACAGCAGTAAGTGTGAGTGATATCATATCACATCATCTCACCCTCTCCTCACTCATCAAAGTTAACATTATTCAACTACGAGCCTACGAGTATAGTGATATGATATATACTCTAAATATGAGTAGAATATGAGTAGAAGTTTTTTGTTTGGATGATGAGTAAGTTAAGGGAGTAGTGTAGTTAGTGATGGTGGTGATGGTGGTGATGGGAAATTGGATTTGTGAGTTATGTACTGAGTGAGAAGTAAGTGAGTTGAGTGGGTAGTGAGTAGTGATTTGGAAATTATATCGGTATCTGTTATGATATGTATATATGTAAGAGAGTCTGTGAATTTCCGGTTCCTGGATTAGATATAGATGTTATGTTTGAAACTTAAGGGGGTAAGGTGGTGAGGTGAGGTGACGAAGGTAAGGTAGTAACTATGTACTTGAGTATATCGGTACCCGTTATAATGTGTAGTTGGAGTAGAATGGGGATAAATATAACTTGGAGAATTTGGGTTCGGGATTAGATATACTGAGTACCGTAGAATGTATCTACGTTCAAAGCTTGAAGGATTCAAGGCGTCTATTGCGGTACGGTTAGGTTAGGTGAGGTAGGGTAGAGAAAGATAAGGTGAGGAAAGGAAGATAGGGTAAGGAAAGGCGAGGTAGAGAATGGTTAGCTTGGATATGCCGATGGGTAGATGGCAGATGGTATATGGTATATGGCAGGTGGTCTATGCAGCAGCAGCATGTGAAAGTCGGTACTTTACAGGTTCAGTTTACAGATACAGTGAGAATCAATCGTGTGCGGATATATATATTGGATGCCGCGGTTGCCGGGCGAATCGGATAGGGTGGTGTGATGTGTGATGTGTGATGTGTGATGTTGGGTTCGGTTGGGTTGGGTTGGAGATATGTGTGTTGGAGATATATATATGTGTTGTGTATTGTGTGTTGTTTTCATGGATAGCAGTCTACGAGTCTACTCTACTCTACTCTACTCGGTACACCGTATATTTGTTCTTATAGTATACTCAGTAGTATGAGTGAGGTTTTTCGCCGGGTTTAAGAAAAAATATATATATGTACGTAGAGTAGCGCGCCGCGATTCGGAGGTTAGGGATGTGGCGATATAGAGATTGGAATTTGATTCCCGGTATGGATGGAGCCGTGGCTATCTCCCAACGACACGGTACCGTGGCGTGGCTCGCGTGGTGTGGCGCGCAAGTGGCAGAGTGGGATACTCATATGCTTTAGTCATGATGCAGTCAGTAAATAGCACAGACAGGGGCGGGGCAGGGTGGCTATATCATTCTTATTGATACACCTTCCGCTCGTGTTCGTTCGTGGTGGAATGAAATGACCTCGAGCACCGGACCGGAAGTGGTTGTTTCTGGATTGCTTCATCTTTGCGTTTAGACTTCTCTTTTAAGGCTGGGGATGGATAGCGTTTCGGATGAAACTAAGGTTAATGATAAGGGCAGATGTCTGCTAGTATGGTGGCACTCGATGATTTCGAAATACTTGGTGTGATGATATGATGGCAGATTGTACATATAGTGTGATGCCTTTGTTGGGAGATAAGCTTAAGGCGGGATGGCTTCTCTTGGTAACCTGAACTTCGGGGTTTGGGATTTGGGGTTTACGAGCGGAAGGGTATAGGGTAGATGAGTAGATGAGTAGATGGGTAGAACCGTAACAATGCTTTTCCGAGGTTTGAAGTCGCTTGGTCAGACGGCGAGTAGTCGATACAGATAGTGGCTAACACTATATAATACGATACGACGAGTAAGGGTATCGTCATTCAATGATTTGCCGTGTTCCAGATGTTTTGTTCCTTTCTGCTTTGTAGCTTTGTGTTGCTTAATAAGATGGGATTGACGATTTAGTTCTACGCCATGAACTTTCTTTGAGAGCATGAAATTTAGAATGCAAATCATCATTTTAGCCAAACCTCCAGTTGATGATTGTCATTGTTGTACTCGGTGTGTACGATTAGTTACAAATAAAGAACAGATAAAGGGAAGAGCAAAAGACGTAAGTATGAAATGATTGTATAGATATATAAAAAGCTTCAATCTAAGTTTCTCCTTGAGTTGAGTGACTTATACGTACAAACTAGTTATTGAGATGAAGTGAGTGAGGCGAATTCCAAAGGAGTGGGGGAAGAGAGGAAGTTAACAGGAGAGTCAAGTACCCGCCCGTATTAGCCTAGTTAGGTTATCCATTTAGAACATTCTTCGTGTTTTTAGTAATCACGCTAGCGAGCTAGAAGGAAGGAAGCGACTTTTATACGACTAACCCTCAGGCTAGCCCGGGTCGAACTTTTATACTTTCAATAGATTCACGGATAGGGCGTGGGTATTAAGTAAATACATAATGATGCCATAAAATGAATGAACTCTGAATGGGAACCAGACTCCGTATACTAATAATAATTAATTAAATATTTAAACTAAATTTCCATTATATATAATATTACTTCTTTACAATGAATATTCTATCAAAGATATCTTCCATTCATCTTCAATAAAATCCTACATTCCATACAACAACTTGCTTTACTACATCTTTTTTCATCAAGGAATAAGAACTCGACAACAAACTGTTGCATTTGCATTAAAGGATACCCGATACCGCCTCGAACTCGACTCGTCAGATAAGACTACATTCTCGTCTCCGATCCTCGTCACAAGACACCAACCTAATCTTGTCAAACCAGTCCAGTCATCCATCCTTATTGTCACCAAGAACCTTCCTTCGATTACTTTCTTCTTACGAATACATACAATATAATTGAATACTACCTACTCTACTACGAATATACTCAAAATCCGCAACTCCATTCAACCAATTTTATAATCCATACTCGAGTAATCTTACATACCATACCTACTCTTATTATCACTTACAATCAGTTATACTTTCTTTAATTTCAGAATTACCGTACTTCTCACCGACCGATAACACCGAGTCCTTCGAGTTCCCGATAATATAATCATCATGTCTACTTCTTCGAGCGCCTCATCCTCTAGATCCGCCTCTCCAGAACTACATTCACAAACCATGCAAATCTTCGTAAAAGTCCTATCAGGCGACAGTAAATCTCCCAAATCCAATGATCTATATACATCTCAACTAACTCAATATCCAGCAATACCCATAACGGTCCCCGAAAACACCACAATATCAAATCTCTCACACCTCCTATCCCTCCGCACATCAACTCCATCTTCAACACTCCGTCTCGTGCATGCAGGGCAACATTTACTACCCTCCTCAACACTAACCTCCAATAACATAACACGAGACTCAACGATTCACGTTTCGGGCACGCTGAGAGGCGGCATGCCTCCGAAGAAAATTAAGTGTAATTATAAGGATTGCGGGGTGGCGGCACAGAGAATCGTAGGGCACTGTGGGTTCTGCGAGGGACAATTCTGTGGGAAGCATCGGATGCTGGAAGATCATAAGTGCGTGAAGTTAGAAGACGTAAGTTATTCTCCAACTTCTCTTGTACATGCATCCCTCGAGGAGTTCGAATTCGGGAAATTGGTTCTTCGTGGTGTATATGATGGATCCGGAAAGAAAGAGAAAGAGGGAGAGCAGATCCTATGTCCATGGTGGCAAGTAGGATTGGCAGATGTGGTTTCGAAAACCATGCATGAAGATGGAATTATGGACTGACTCTTTTTCATCACAGTGCAAGAAAGAATGTCATGATCGAAATGCGGCTCAACTAAATGCTGAACGAACGCAAGTTATAAAGGGTATCTAGACATTTCACCATCTTTGAGCATGCATCCGCCCGAGGTTATGCATGGCAGTATGTATGGCAGGATACAACACAGAACATACCTGTTCAAGCGTCATTTCAACACTTAAGCTCTGCTTTGCATAAATGTACATCAGAGACCTATATCTCTCCATCCAACATCCTTCCTAGTCATCACCACAAGCGACACCACACCACATGTTCTCGGCTTCACATCACAACACAACACACCACTACTTAACATTTAACATATAACTCTATTATATCTTCGTATATCTTCGTTCACACATCTGTTTTTTTTAGCGGGCGCAAGGAACTAGCATATTTCACATATTTACAACCATTTACCACCATCCATCTATCTCTCTTTTCTACTGGTCAAGGGAGTTCCAACGGGTCATCTTGATGCAAAGCAAAGAAAGGGTGATAAGCTTTTATAAATATGGGTGTGGTAATATAGTTGAGGTTTATTTGTTATATACTTTAAGTTTGAGAAGAATCATATACCGTATTAACTGGTTAGGATGGTAATATTTATCTGTTTATTCAATTAGATAACGGCGTATGGTTCTATATTATCAAAAAACTTTTTAAACCTCTATAATATAATAATGGTATAATGGTTACGGTATATATAATAATAATAATAAAGTCATATTATATAGAATAAATCTGCCCGCCTAAACTTTATATTATATTACTCCCCTTTTATTAATCAAATTTATTATAAATTTATATCCATATCTATATTTATATCATCTCT